CAACACACTGTTAATGCCATCACGTTCTTTCTACTGTACATTTAGCCACAAATACAGTAAGCAACTAAGGAGACATCGCATATCTTTGCTTTACACTCTATCCAGAGTTGAAAGCAAAACATCCACTCAGCATTCCTGATACTTAACACAATCTTTCCTTCCACCATTGACCACTCTTAATCAGCAACCAACTTTGAATTCTATATTCACCCACAAATATCCATAATTCAAACCTATTTGCTTGTCCTATGCGTTCTCTAAATCAACAAGCATACAATGAGTTTTCATTTTAATGTTCACCCATTTCTCAGTGTTGTGTTGATGGAGGACAGGCAGGGAGCCAAGTTCAAGTCAACTTCTCTGCCGTAGAAGTTCCTTGGATTGGTCTTTCTCAAAAGCAAACCACCTTCCAGGATTTTTTAAAGAGAAAAATAGAAAAAGAGGCTGTTCTATATCTCCTTGCACTCCTGAACTAAGTCAAGATATAAATCTAATAAATAAACAAAAGAGGGAACAATAACAGCATTCTTCCAATCATCAAGAACAAATGTAATTTGTTGTAATTTGTTAATCAAGTCACACATAAGCAACTTGATAAATAGATCAGATTCATATTTTAACATTTCTCTAGTTACAAATTTGAGTGGATAAATAGACACCAATTCAGTGGGAAGGTAACAGTGCTGCAGGACATCATGCTGGCCATATGACCATGGAAATGTCTTTGGATATTGTTAGCTCAATGGCCTTGAAACAGAGAAGAACACCACCTCCTATAGTCGGCAATGACTAGCGGAGTAAAATCTGCAGGGATTTCTTTATCTTTACCTTACCTGGTTACATCTGCATCCTATCAAATCATTCTGCCCCTTTTAATTTTAGTCTTTCTTATTTACTTGGGATTACATTGTCGTAACTAAAGAGCCAGTTTGGTAGTGATGAAAGTGCTGAAAAGAAAACAAAAAAACAAACAAACCCCAGGAGATTGTGAGTTATATTTCTGCTTTAGAAATGAAAACTGACTGGCTGATCTTGTGGTTACTATCCCTCAGTCTAACCCATTTTACAGAATCATTATAGGGAAAATGGAAGGAGAAAGGAGTACAATATTAAGTATGCTGGATGCCTTGAGTTATTTTTTAAAAATAATACACTTGGGATAAAAATCGAATAAATAAACTTTTATGTACAAATAGTCTTATGCTTAAATATTGCATAAAATCTACTCCTACTTGCTGGCTTCCCATCATGAGCCACAGTGTACCACCAGCTCTATGAAGGCAGAAAGCCTTAGTGAAGAAGTACAATAAAATTATGAGAAACCCACTTCTTCCTGTGCATGCTGATCTTCCTCACCTGTCAATTGGCAGGCTTAAATCCAGGAAGCCCTCTCTGGCACTTGCTCAACAGCTGTCTAACAATTTTGACATCAACACACAGTGGAAAGCCAAATGGGCTGCTGAACACCCAGATACAGGCAGTTACATAGATGACCCTCCACAAAAGGTGCCAGGTTTTGACCTTCCTCGCCAGCTTTGGTCAACTCTGAACAGGATCCATACCTAACATGGTGTCTGCCAGGACTCATTGTTTAAGTGGGGTCTTTTCTCTACCCCTCAGTGTGACTGTGGTGCTCCTTGACAAAATATCCATCACATTGTGTCCGAATGTCCATCAAGAGCTTATACCAGCCCAATGTCTGATTTTTTCGACATAGACCACCCTGTCCTTGAATGGCTGGGTGGACTGGATATTAACATTTGAACTATTATAAGTCCATGTATTTGTCATATGTTAAATAAATAAATAAATTTAAATGACATAATTGAAATAAAGATATTTTTCTAAGCATATAATTTTCTTATCCATTCTTGGGTCTTTGAATGGCCTAATCACTTTTTCTGTCCTTTCTCATCTCATTTTCATCCAGTCCATCATGTCATTGAACAGAATAATTTTTCAACATGTTGCCCAAAACTCATAACTTGTTCTTTTATTATCACCAACTAATAAATCCTGCTTTCAGATGTCTGAACAATAACTGAGATGACACCACCTCATACTTCCTGACATTTAGCCCTTTCATTGATAAATAAATCTACACTTTCACTTCTCTGTGGTTATTCATCATTTAAAAGAGCAGACTACCTTCATTCATTCTATTGTATTGTATTTGTAATAGATTGTATCTATTTCATCCTTCTTTTGTCCCTTAGTTTCAAAAACATATATCATTTTCCTTTCTTTTCATTAATTAATTAACAGGCACTGTCACAAAGAGGCTTGGAGGGGGGAGTGAAAAGGAAAGGCTCATCTATCAGAAACTGGGAATCTAAGCTATTTTAGCACTGTACCAGTTCTGTGGGCGTGGCTTGGTGGGTGTGGCTTGGTTTGGTGAGCGTGGCTTGTAAAATCTCCATTCCCATCCCACTCCAGGGGAATGTTACTGTAAAATCCCCATCTCCTCCCGATCAGCTGGGACTCGGGAGGCAGAGAATAGATGGGGGCAGGGCCAGTCAGAGATGGTATTTACCGGTTCTCCAAACTACTCAACATTTCCACTACCGGTTCTCCAGAACTGGTCAGAACCTGCTGAATACCACCTCTGACACACACACACACACACACACACACACACACAGAGAGAGAGAGAGAGAGAGAGAGAGAGAGAGTCCTAGAATATAAGTGCAGAGTGCAGTGCTAGAATAACTTAGATTCCCAGTTTCTGATAGATGACCCAAGATTAAGGAAGACACACAGCACCAATAAGGGTGAGAAGGATTTTTCCCCTATATGTATATATATGTTTTGGGGAATGTTTCTGGGATGGTATTTGTGTATTATACATAAATTTTGGGGAGGTAATTTGCTAGCTGTCATATGTGTGAGCTCTGCCTATGGAGTATGAAGATGGGAAAGCTGCCTGTTTGGGGATGAAATTTGGAGGGTGAAATCTGAACCAATTTGCTACCGGTTCACTGGCCACACATCCGCGCTGCATCCCGCACACACATGCACAGTATGCACCAAAAGGAGGCTTGGGAAGGTAAGTAGAAACGAGGGAGAGGATCAGCTGTGGCGCACGATTTAGCTTCGCTAGAAAGCAGGATTTCCTGCTTTCTAGCAAAGCTAAACCCCGCTGCACAGCTGATCGTCGGAAATACTGGTTCGCCCGAACTGGTAGCTTTTAAAACTGCCAGTTCAACCAAACCGATAGCTAACTACAGGTTCATCTGAACCGGTAGCTTTTTGTTTTATTATTGGTTCACCTGAACCAGTAGTTTTTATCATTATTGGTTCACCCAAACCGGTAGCTTTTTTAACTGCTGGTTCAACCAAACAGGTAGCTAACTACCGGTCTGTCCAAACCAGTAGCTTTTTTTTTACTACCGGTTCGCCTGAACCAGTAGTTTTTATCATTACCAGTTTGCTCGAACCGGAGCAAACTGGTAGGATTTCACCCCTGGTCTGGTGTGAACTTCTGGAATGGTGTTGGTTGTTTGCGCATAGGTGAGAGTGTTGAAGAAGAAATGTGTGAGCATAGACGGGCTTTGGCATGTTTCTTTTGGCTGTTTTTGTTTTACTTTGGGGGCGGCATATTGTCTACATGTCTGTTTGTTGGCTTTTATTTTGATGCCATTCCTTAAATTGGTTGTATCATTTTTATTTTAATGATATTAAATTTAGCACTTAAAGAGATGGAGAGACTGTGACATATGGTAAAAAGTACTTGATATAATTAGGCTTCTCTTTGTCTGTAATGGTTAATTAACAAGCAAAACAAAGCAAAACAAAATAAAACAAGAGATCAATCTCTTGGACTTCAGACCCCATGCCCTGAATTGTACAGCATGTTGATCTTTGAGAAAAGTGTTGGTAGCTGATTTTCTTGGTATCCAGAAAGGCAGACACTGATCAGTAACAATTAGGTGGTTTTTTAAAATTTTTTGAAGCTAAACTATGTATTATGTGGCTCATCCTTTAAAATCAGTATTTGGAACATATTATCTTTAGAGTGGAAACAAGCTTCCTTTCTCTTACAATTTAGGAGGCAACTTTTTATGTATTTTATTGTTTATATGTTTTATAGCTGTCTTTGTAAAGCACCCACATTTCTTATAGGAGTAAAGCAAAAAATAAGCAAACAAATCGGCTTTTTTTTTCTTCTTCTTCTAACTTTACTTTGATTAATCCATAGTTATGTGTTGGGTTTTGTTTTCTTTCTGCGATGCCTTTTCTTGGCTTTGCCTTCTTTTCAATCTTTTTCAGCATAAGCAAGTGCAGAGGCAAGCATTAGACGCTCAGATATCTTGCAGATTTATTTCTACTACTGTCTCCATAATTCCAATTATCTTATTGGCTAGGTTAAGGAGAAAAGAGGAGAGGAGAGGAGAGGAGAGGAGAGGAGAGGCATCCCTGCAAATTTTACTGTACTTGTTGCTGACTATAGGGAGTGGCACTCATCTCTGTTTCAAGGCCATGAGCCAGCACTGTCTGAAGATGTTTCCATGGTCATGTGGCCAGCATAACATCACAGAACTCTATTTCCTCTCCATCAAAGTGTTATATTTATCTACTCACATTTGCAAGCTTTTGAACTGCTAAATAGGCAGGAACTAGGCAAAGATGGGCATTCACCCCATTACATGATGCTCAGGTCTCAAACTTGGCTGTTGACAAGCTCAATCTCTTAACTGGTGAGCCATCGCACTGCCCAAAATTAATGAGAACTTGAGTTTAAAATACCTGGAAGTAATTTACTTATTACCACTAAGTTATAAAACATCATTTTATTCTTCATGATATATCAGCTGAAAATATATGTCTATATTACATAGACCTATGTCTAAATAACCAAAGCTAATGAAAGTGGAGAATAATATACTTGTATAGCCATATACAATTACATATAGATTAATTATCTATATGATTATCCTCCATTCAAAAATTCCCATCCTGAATGCTTTCTTTCCTTATTATTCTCTTTTTTTTCCCTACAGCTCCTAGATTGTTTTGTGATTCCAGTTGTGATCTTACTTTCTTGGTTCTTCCTCCTGGTGCGATACAAAGCAGTGCACTTCATCGGGATTGTGGTGTGCATTCTGGGCATGGGCTGCATGGCAGGAACAGATGTTCTTGTTGGAAGACAGCAAGGAGCAGGTATGTTTTTGCAGATTAGAAGGAAATGGTGTGCTTTTTGTTGTTGTTTCCAAGTTCCCTGGAAATGTCTGCATGTGGAAACATGGCACCTTGAGAAAATAATGAATTTCCTAATGATGTCAGAAGTGGCCCTCAGGATCTTGCTAAACTATTTTTACCATTACCTCTCACTACTGTGCATGCTGGCTAAGACCACTGTGGGAATCCTGTGACACCTGGAGTTCCAAACAGCCTATGGAAGGCTGTAGAATTTTCCCCCCATTTGTTTTACAAGCCACAATTCACTTTATAAAGTTTCCGCCCTGGAAACAATGAAGGACCGGCCCATGGTGCCTCTGCCAGTGAAAATGGAGCTTGGAAGGGCGGCGTGTAGCCCTTGGGAGCTCCATTTTGCTAGCAGAGGGTTCCAGGAGGCTGTTGCAGCCGAAAACGGAGCTCGGAAGCCTGTATTTGCTGGCAGAGCTCTCGGGCCACCACATGCATCCCTGACACAAGTGACATTGAGCTGGCCACACTCGTTCCAGCCACGCCCGCCCCCGAGTCAAACACATCCCTGAGGCAGCCCTCAATGAAATCGTGTTTGACATCCCTGCTCTATGATATAACTTCCATGTGCATGGATTGAATACCTTTGCCTGCAGAGAGGAGGACTCAGTCATGGTAGCCAGAACTCTTTGGTATAAAACTCACAATGAGTGTTTCTGAAAGAATGAAGTACAGCTTCTAAAAGCAAATTGTGATATATATATTTTTTACAATTCTTTTTGCTCCTAGGAGAAAATAAACTGATAGGTGATCTTCTAGTACTAGGTGGGGCCACTCTCTATGGCATCTCCAATGTCTGTGAGGAGTACATCGTACGAAATCTGAGTAGAGTGGAGTTCCTAGGGATGATTGGACTCTTTGGTTCCTTCTTCAGTGGAATTCAGCTGTAAGTAAAGAGAGGCATTGACTCCATCCTGCCATGTCAAATAAAGAAAGATCCACAACCATCTTCTCTCATGTTCCATTTGTTCCTGTGTGTTTTCCTATAGATTTCCCAACATGAATGGTCAGATCATCCAGTCCACTCATTCTACCTTGCTTTCTTATTCTTTCATTCAAAAATAAAATTTCTGTTTGCTAAATAGAAAAGTTTTTTTTTTAACTTTGTATCAGTCAATAAATTACTGGATGGGTCACATAAAAAAAAAAAGGTGGTCAAATTAGTTTTCCTTCATTTTTATTCTCCTAAAATGTTCATAGCAGCAAACAGGATCAGTAGAGATTTAAACCTAATGCTTTTCAATCATAGTTCAACATCTAATCACTATATTACATTAGCTCTCAATAGCTGTAATGACATTCAAGTGTCTTTTTTTAAAAAAAGCAAATTTTTGGAGGAAAAGGACAGACTAAGTCTTGGATCTGTTACATACTGTACTCATGCAAAAAAAAAAAACAACAACAACACCCGCAGGAATGCATTGGCTCACTTAACATCTGTAGCACTTGCTTAACAACTGTGTTTACTTAACCCGTGCTGTAAAAAAAGTTTGTAAGATTAAGTTGGGCACATGGGTCCCGCAACTACTGAGCTTCATAATTTACGACACAAAATCTGGCCTCTATTATGGTTATAAATTGAGGATTACCTTTAATTTTCTCCATTTCCAAAGGGTTAAATCAAATTGAAACTGATCTGGACACTGTGCTGGGACATTTCTACGTATTATGGACATGCATTCTTTCCCTGCCTAATCAATATAAGAGAGATTAACTTTTTCAGTAATACTGAGGATTTCAGTCCTCAGTATTTTAATAACTTTTTGGTACTTTCATTCCAACATCAAGACAAAATTATGATCTGTCACCAGTAACAACATTAATATAATGCTTCATTCTATGAGGCATGTATCTGTTTCTTTCCATTCTCCCCACATTTTCCTACCTTCTATCAGAAAAATTGATAGAAGATAATATAGAAACAGATACTTAACTTGGGCAATCATATAATGTTGCAGAGGCTTTATTGCTAGCATTATTACAATTGCTAATACACTATTATAACTAGACATTGTTTTGAGGTAGTACCTGGAATTTTTCTGTGAGGAAAAAGGTTCCTTCTACATTATTCTCCTCATTCACAGAGGAAGCTACTCCTGCAGTTACATAGCTCTCTGTGTTAAGAAGAGGAGAAAGAAGAAAGGGAAAAGGAGAGGAAGAAGAGGGAGGGTAAAGAGGAGTAGAGGAGAAGGTTAGAAGGGGGGAAGAAGAGAGGATTGGGGGAAGAGAAGGGGAAGTAGGAAAGAGAAGGAGAGGAAGAACGAAGGAAGTAGGAGGAGAAACAGGGGAGGAGGAGAAGAAAGGTTGGAGTAAAGGTAAAGAGTAAAAGAGCAGCCCCGAAAAAGTAAAAATTAAAAATGAAAGTTAAAAGAAAAGATGAATGAAAAATGATGGAAATAACTGTACATGTAAATGTGTTTATGAAAAATAAAAATAAAAAACTTTTTTAAAAAAATAGCTCTCTGTGTTAGTAACTCTCATTACTCTGCTAATTACATTTCAAATACAGAGAGAAAGTGAGAGCTATTTGTACAAATCTGGTAGTAACTAACATGAGCATGAGATTTCCTCTATTTTAACAATATATATATTTACTTCACTTTGTGGAAATAATTAGAAATAATTAGAATTTCCCTTATCAAAACATTTCTTTATTTTTCCTCCCAGTGCTATAATGGAACACAAAGAATTGTTAAAAGTTCCCTGGGACTGGCAAATAGGTAAGACTAGAAGTTACTTTACTATTGCTTATTGTTCAGAAAATAAACTGTGTTTGAGATTATAGCATTGCTTAAATGACAGTGGTGGTAACATCTTGGTTTAGCTCAGGGGTGAAATCTACTTACCTTCCCTACCGGTTTTGAAGTGTGCACGCACGTCATGTGCAATTTTGGACCCTCTGCGCATGCGCAGAAGGTAAAAAGCAGGTTACTTCCTAGTTAAAACCAAGAAGTAATGACGTCTGGGCAGGTGGGCGGAGCCTCGCGCTGCCCCTGCTACCGGTTCTCTGAACCACCGGCCGCCGCCGCTATTGGTTCGCCCGAACTGGTGCAAACGGGTAGCATTTCACCCCTGGTTTAGCTCCATTTAGGCCTGAGAATTTATCTTTTTTGCAGTCTATAATGAATTGAGCTTAAGTTGAAAGTTGGTAAATGCTAGCTGGGTTCATCAACATGCTGAAATTGGGTTTTCAAATCATAGTTTATAGTTTAGTGACATGTGGCAACCACATCACTGACAGTTTTTTGAGCTAGTCAAAGGGCAATTAGTTAAATTTGTATTCCCATCAGTGAACAATACTAAAATATTTTTGGATCTGCAAATTACTGTGGTAGGCATTAATGGTTTTGTGTGCTACATAAACTAGTCATGGTTGATTATAAACCATAGTTTATAATTCAATTTGATTGCTTTGCTTCATAAATAATGATTAAGTAGTCCACTCTCATTAATTTGCTCTGTTTATGATGATGCACACATTAAAAGCAAAGCAAACAGAAATTGAGAGCATGTGGGTTTTTTCACATTTCTTAGTGGGATGGGCAAGGGAAACTTTCTTTTACTTTCTAAGAATTGGCTAAATGTAGTCTGATGGCCAATTCTTTTGCTTTTCTCTTTCTTGATAAACAAAAAACAAAAAACCACTCAGGTGTGTGTTTGTTTAACTTAAAGCAAAAAACCCCCAACAACCTTAAAATGAAGAGGAGACAGAACAACTCCCTATTTGGCTCCCACCTACAAAATAAAGGAACTTCTGTTTCTCCCCACTGCTAACCTCTTGAGGTTGTTTAAGAGAGTTTTTTTTTACAGCTTGTATAAGAATTGGAAAAATGTGTGGGAGGAGGCTGGACTGGGAGTGTGTGTGCTATGACAATTTGCCATGGCCAACTTGCCGTAACCAACTCATTGTAGGACAACTTGCCACAGCCAATTTGCCACAGGACAACTCATCACAGGATAAAAGTTACTTTAATATCAAAGAACTAGTGCAGTGATGGCTAACCTTTTTGCCATCACGTGCCAGGAGCAGAGGGGAAGGGGGTTGCACGCACACATGCCCACACCCATAATTCTATGTGTCCCGCCCCCGCGCATGTGTGTACGCCCCCACGCCCCATGCCCCGCTCCTGGCACAGTGGGCCCGGTAGGCCCGTTTTTCTCTCTCCCCAGGCACCAGAACCTTTCTAGGAGCTTGGGGAGAATGAAAACAGCCTTCCCCCCCCAACCCCCCCCCCGGAGGCCTCTGGAGGCCGGAAATGGCCCATTTGCCAACTAGTGGAATAGAATCATTGAAGAAAGGATGCAAAATGAGGGACAAAATGAAATTTGAATGGCAAAAATTAAATTATTTTTTTATTCATTTTAAATAATTAAATAGAATTGTTAAATTGTCCTGCAGTGAGTTGCCCCATGGCAAGTTGGCCCTGGCGAGTTGTCCTGCAGTGAATTGACCGTGGTGAGTTGGCTGTGGCAAGTTGTCCCATTCCGGTATTGGGGGGGGTGCAATTTTTGTACCAATTTTTTTTTTCAGCTGAAGAAACTATTATCTGTATACCCCATTGATGTGCTAAGCAAATGGTTTTGTCTAGGAGGCTCATTTCTTAAGTACTACAGTAAAGATGGCATTTGATGCCATCTGCATTAGAAGGCTACAAATGGCAGTTAATGTAAAAAGGCACGTTGAGCCCAACTGCCCTTATAATGAGGAATAAGGGAGGTAATATGCTTAATGGGCCTCAACAGCTCCTAGTTAGCTTCCTTTCCAAATGAATATCAACGGCAGCAGGTTGAAGAGCTCCTTAAGCTGACTGGTTACAGAGGCAATAGCTGAGGATTGCAATTATAAATGACACACTCGACCATTGCTCCCATTGGGTCTTCCCTCATCATTTCCTCTGATTATCCCCAAACCTTAATGAAGCTGTGCACATCTGCTATTACCCTCAGTTGCAAAGATCTTCCTGCTTTGTTCAATATGACTCCTAAATTGAACACGGATCAATGTAAAGCATGACTGGTCTTTTTTATCACGCAGTTGAGATTTTTACAAGGCTTCTGGGACTCGTTCCCCTTTTAAGAAGAAATGAGAGAAATATGTTTGGTGGTGTGAACTAACTAATCACCAGCAGCAGTGAGGCAAAGGCCCTCCAGCTTCACCTGTCTGTAAACAGGTAGCCTCTGAAGCACATTTTTGCTATCATTCAATTAGCAAAAGCAGATGTTTTGTTAGAGCAGAGATCACTTGATTTTGGATTCCATTTGCGCATTATGCTAAATCAGTGAGATGAAACATTTTGGGAGCTAGAGTGGACAGAGCTAGGATAATCATTAAAGTCAAGTTGATTTTACTTACATGTATCACAAGGGTATCCATGACTGGCTGGGAGAATTCTGGGAGTTTAAGTCCACAAGTCTTAAAGTTGCCAAGATTGGACATCCCTGATAGCTTGGATATGGTATCATTCCAATGAAATACAATTAATATTATTAATATTATTCTTTTCCCCTTCTATTACATTAAACACAGGGGTGGGTTCTACTCAGGGGTGGATCCTACTTATCTTTACTACCGTTCACAACCGGGCCATGCGCGCGCTCTTCTGCACATGCACAGAAGCGTTCTGATGATGTCGGGGTCAGTGGGCAGAGCCTCCCGCTGGTTTCACTACTGGTTCTATAAAACCGGTGCAAACCGGGGGCAACCCACCACTGGTTCTACTTACCTTTACCAACGGTTCACAACGGGATCACATGCAGGCTTCTGCGCATGCGCAAATTGTCTATGACAACATGCGGATGGGTGGGCGGAGCCTCCTGCCGGTTTTACTACCGGTTCACAAGAACCGGACCAAACCGGGAGCAACCCACCACTGATTAAACATGATAATTTGGTAACTGTTTTTGGAGGCTTTCCAGGGATCTTGCTCTAGATTTCTTTGGGGCTACCTATGTACAGCTTTGAGACACAGTTTAGCATCATCTCCAGAAGCATGCTTGAGCAAGGTCTTCTTCCTTTCTTTGATTTTCCTGCCCAACTGAGCAGAGTATTTTGAAAACCTGTGTTTCTACTTTCAGTTACTCCCAGTTCATCATGTTATATCTGTGATGCAGAATTATTACTGTTTACTGGGCTTAATTTCATTATGCCAGAGTTTCTGGTGTGCTTGCTGAAAACTTACTGTATATAATGTTAACAGCAAGTGGTAGGCTAGTTCCCTCCTTGCTAATTTTCATAATGTTACAACAGAAACTAGGAAATTAAGAGATTCAGGCAGTTCAAATGAGTATAAATGAGTATAAAAAATTATTGAAAGCTTAAACTTTCTACAAGAATCTGGCCAACTGACTGTAAAGGGAAATGCGTGAGAGATAAGAGAGGCATTCAAAGTGGGCTGTACTTAGATCTCTTGTGGGCATGCAGGGACTCGTGATTTATGGCACATTGAACCTCTCCCTGGTCATCCTGGGAGCTTAGCCTGGTCATCTCCATAAAGTAATATTTTGGAGATTTTTATCTTTTTAACAAAGTATGCATGATGTGCCTTCTTTTATTCCTTTTCAGTTACCTCCTGGTATTTTATTCTGATTATATTGTGCCTTTTGGTTACATCATGTCTTTTGGTTGGGCAGTTAATGATTATTTTTTCATTAGTGTTTTTAATCATGCAATGGATGAAGCCACCAAAGAAATATTAGATTGCCGTGGGATAGAAATACAATAAAAAAACCAAAGCGGAAAAATATTGGGAGTGTATAGAAATCCAGGGAAGTCATGATGATGACAAACGATATTATATTATGACATTGTTATGCAAATGACATGAATGGCATGACTCACATGAAGTCATTCATCTTTTTTGTCTTCCTTACAGACACCCATAAGCCAAGACTTGCTTTGTGTGTTTTTGTGAATGTGTGCATTACACTCAGTCATGGCTTGGCATAATGGCTGAGCCCATCTTATGACTATCAAAACAAAGTAATTATGTTGGGGAATTTTTTTGTATGCTACAGATCAGGCAACAGAACAACTCTGGCCTGTAAGGGCTCTGCAGATCTTGTCAAGGCTCTAGAGCAGTGTTTCTCAATCTTGGTAGCTTGAAGATGGGTGGACTTCAAGCTTCCAAGGTTGAGAAACACTGCTCTAGAATCAGAATGCCACAAAAAAACCCAACCTTCTCTATTCAGCTTTGCTAGCCTCTTACCTATTTCCATCACAAAAGATGCATCCTCTTCTTTGCAAAAGCTTAACAGTTTTCTTCAAAGCTAAGAAGTAATGGAAATGTTGTGAGGAGACATTTAGCTACTTTCTCCCAAAAACCTCCCCACCCCGTTCCCCAGTGTACATTAAGTGCTGAATATGTACTGTGTACTAGAAGATGGATGGCTGCATTTTAATAGTATCCATCAGTTCCACCAGTAGCTCGATCTTTAAACCAAAAGGAAAGTAACTCTTGAGGGTGGGGGGGGAAATCTTAACACTGCTGTAAATAGACTTTCATATGAAGGTACTGAAAGTAATTACATTGCCGTAGTAAATTTATGGTATGTTTGTTCTGGAGGAAGTCTTCAGGGAAAAAAATGATATGAGATTGTGACATAAATCACACAGGGAAAGAAACAGTATCATTCGGAATTTGCCTAGTTATACAGATAAAACCAGTTCAGTTTAGTAGTCAAGGCCCCCAAGCTATAAACCAGGAAATTGGGAGTTCTAATCCTGTCTTAGGCATGAAAGCCAGCTCGGTGACTTTGTGCCAGTCACTATCTCTAGGCCCAACCCATCTCACAGGATTGGTGCTGTGGGGAAAATAGGAGAAGAAAGGAGTATTAGGTATGTTTGCCATCTTGGGTTATTCATCAAAACAATAAAGGCAGGATACAAATAAATAAAGGGGAGATGTTGCCACTTGTTGATCTCCTTTATGTTGTTAATTCTTGTGGATAACTTTGCTTTTGAATTTCTGTTATTAGTTCTAAATCTGGGGATATTGTTATTTTTTTGTGACTGTAGTACATACGATCACTTTGCTATGATTATCATTCTTGTAGTAACATCGTACAAATATAGAATATCGAAGCCAGGGAGAGTGAGGGCAGAGTGTTAGAACTGTAGACAGTGACTGTGAAAACTGGAAGATTATAAATTATCAAACGAGGGCCAAGAATGACATTCTTGTAACATTTCAAGTCAGCTGTACTTTAGGTAGCCAAGTACACAGCAGCCTTTTCAGAAAAGTCAGGATGAGAACATGTGTCGTGATGTTGAAAGCTCACGCCAGGCCACTTTCTCACTTTGTTTATTCCATTCCCGGCAAGTACATATCTGAAGGTAAGATTTATTTTTTTTCCTGGATTATGTCTCAGATGACTCTGACACCTCAGGACACAAATAAATTAAGGCTACCTTCCCTCTCTCCTGGCATACCTTGGGCAGTTAGAAATCTTCCAAGGTTTGTTTCTCTCAGCAGAAAAGTTGCCTTCAGAAAATCTGGGCAAGACAGTACTGACTGCTTATCATTTTCCTTCCTTCCTTCCTTCCTTCCTTCCTTCCTTCCTTCCTTCCTTCCTTCCTTCCTTCCTTCCTTCCTTCCTTCCTTCCTTCCTTCTTTCCTTCCTATAGGATTACTGTATGTTGGCTTTAGTGCCTGCATGTTTGGCCTCTATAGCTTCATGCCTGTGGTGATTAAGAAGACGAGCGCTACAGCAGTCAACCTCTCCCTTCTTACAGCAGATTTATACAGCCTTTTCTGTGGATTCTTTCTCTTCTACTACAAGGTAAGTGGACCAATCCAGTTACAGGTAGTCCTTGATTTACAGCCATAACTGGGACAAGAATTTCTGTTGCTAGGCGAGGAGGTTGTTAAGTGAATTATGCCCAATTTTACAATCTTTTTTTTTTTTTTGGCCACAGTTAAGTGACTCACATGGTTGTTAGGTGAATCTGGCTTCCCCTATTTACTTTTTTCATTGGAAGACAGGTGGGAAGCTGACCAATGGTGATTACACGACCCCTGGTTGTCACTGCAACCATTGTAAATACATGCTGGTTGCCAAGCATTGGAATTTTGGTCACATAACCATGGGGATGTTGAAGCGGTTTTAAGTGAAAGGATCTCTCATAAGTTACTTTAGTGTTTTTGTAACAGCAGATGGTCACTAATGGTTTTAAATCGAGGATTATCTGTATATGAGTATGGTAATTGACCACTGTCTTGCGAACATTGATATTGTACTAATGATAATAGCATGTAAGAGCCTTGGTGGTGCAGTGGTTAGAATGCAATATTGTAGGCTAATTCTGCCGACTGCTGGGGGTTCGATCCTCACCAACTCAAGGTTGACTCAGCCTTCCATCCTTCCGAAGTCAGTAAAATGAGGACCCAAATTGTTGGGGGCAATATGCTGACTCTGTAAACTGCTTAAAAAAGAGCTGTTAAGCATCGTGAAGCGGTATATAAGTCTAAGTGCTACTGGTACTGTATCTTCAAAGTTCATACTGTTTTCAGTCCAACTTGTTTGTTCTGAATGGTTCTGACCCAAGCATTGTACAGCATTTCTCCTCTGATTGTTGAATATACCAGAAAAGCAACTTCCCTGGTCAGTCATTATCAGAAGGAAGGCTCAACCCAGGGGGTTAAGTAAGGTTGCATCAGGATGGTTGTTTGTGGCAACCGAAGAGTGATTGGATTGTTAATTATCTTGATATATAAATTCTTCTAGCATGAGAACAAGCAAAGAGTCTGGAAATATGGGGAATTATCTTGATTCTGATTAATGCAAGATCAAATATAATCTCAAAATATTTATTAAATTTTCATGCTACCCATCACACGGTTACAATGAGATGGTTGGCTTACAATATAATGAAAAGGTAAAACAGATAATGCAAAGCAATTAAAATTAAGAGGATTGAACACGAAGCTTAAAACCAAGAGGATGCGCTGATCAACATAAACCGTACGTTTTTTAAATTCAATGTTTCAATATCCTATTTGTTCAGATTAAATCTTATGTGTTGCTAAGGAAAAGAAGCCATTATTAAGCACATCTGCTGCGTAAGGGCATTCTGAGATTTCCCCAGCTGGACAAAACAGAGTTCCAGTTTTGAATTGAATAACCCGGATGTTGTGGGTTGCAAGTAACTTAATGTGATATTTTTCAACTTGTAACTAGCAGATGCCTTCAGTTTCCTGTGGTGTTGTAATCCCTGGCTTTGTTCTTGTACGAGGAGTAAAAGTATCCCTGATCACCGTAGGCATAAAGCATTAATATTAAATTGCTTGTGTTAAATATCACGCTGAGGATGATTTTCCTCTGCATGTTTTTCACTTGCTTTGGTTTCGGCCCAGCTGCTCTTCTCCTCAGCTACACCATTCCTTTTATTTTGTAATCACTGACCAATGGACAAAAGGAGAGCAAAAGGCTTTATTAGTTAAATAAGAACCAGCTCAGCTCTTTAATATCTCTTCCAAAATTCACTGTCGTTATACTTTCAAGGACCTGCTGGGCTTCGCTGTCTCTTTCCTCTGACCTATAGCAAAGAAAATATAAATCAAGCAAAATGCAAGGAACTACCTTTATTTTGCTTTAGAAAGTAATTGGAAAAGCATTTTAGGCATTCAAAGGGGTTGAATCATCTTAACTTGCCATTAGAGCTGAACTTTTCAAGATTTATTATCTGCCCTGCATTCATTAGTGCCGTAGGCTAGGTTGTTGCAAAGGAGATGAATGCAAAAGAAGTGAGAAATATGGCATTATGACTCATGAATAATTGAGTAGATTATTTATAATGAGGGAGAATTGCATTCATATTTTTATTAAATTATAATGACTTAGGAGTTACGCTTTAAGAAAATAAATTCCATTAAAAAAAAACAAAAACCTCTGAGTTAATTTGGTTTATAAAATTATATCTAACAGTAATTCTGTATAATGAGTAATTGATCTTGCCTAGACACCTACAGTAGCCAAACATACTCTATTATCAGTCTTTTCTCACATAGCAATTCTCTTACCAAAGCAGGATTCATATTTCATCAGAAGTAGTTAAGTATTAAACTCCTGATGTAGAAGTCCTAAAGAGTCATTCTTTATCATTCTTCAGGGAAAACCTGAAAAAAATGGCAATCTATATAGTTTAGAACCCTTTTCCTCTATCCTTCAGAAGTGAAAGAGATAGGATATGTTGTATTTAACTTACACCTTAATTATTTTTCAGGAGACCATATAGAACAGGGGTGTGGAACTATGGCCCTTTTACGATCTGTGAACTTCAACTCCCACAATTCCTGAACCAGAATTCCCGAGCTGGCTCAGGAATTCTGGGAGTTGAAGTTCACAGATCGTAAATGGATCACAGTTCCACATCGCTGATATAGAAGATACTACTATAATGAACTTCCTTGTAGTGATCCACTCCCAAAGCTTGATGACCAGTAGATGGCAACAAAGAAATAGGGAGCACACTCACTCTTTGCCTTCATTTTGTCATTGTCCAGATTGTTGCAGCCCAGATCTGGTAGACATACTTCCTTCCATTTCTGCCATGGCTTTACACTTCTCATTCCACACCTACTATTGCAATTTGGTTTCATGATTTCTACCTTTCATATTCAATTCAAATGGTCTCTAGTATTATTACACAGAACTTTCAGCTCAGGCAAAAGTTATTTTAATCGCATGCCTTCCAGTTTGGTCATTCTTCCCTTCTTTCAATGAGGTGAGAAGAAGGAATTGTAATACAGATGAGTACAAAGGCAGGTAGAATGCCTGGTGAGATTCTGTCTGGTAGCCAGAACATAATACTGGTAGAAACTTGGTAGAAATATAAGTTGAAACTTGAACGAATCCAGACTTAAAAGTCTGCAAAGCCCAGCCTGGAATTGTAGCTATAAGAGACAAGTTCCAGGGATAGAAGTAGACAGCCAATGAATCACAAATCCAGGAAGGTAGAAGAGAGCATTGTAGAAAAGAAGGATGGTTTAGATAAGGCTAGAGTTCCACAACTCTGGGCCATGTGATAAAGCAGAGATGTCAACTCACATTTCACAGTGGCAACACGTGACGTACCGGGACTTTTTCCCCCTTTGCTATACCAGACGTGAGCATGGCCAGCACGTGACACATCTGGCCCGTGGGCTGGGACTTTGACAGCCCTGTCATAAAGGTTCAACATTGGAGGGTTGTTTCCAAAGATGAGCAAAGCTCTAGCAGCTGCTCCTAAGTAGTCCCAGCTGCAAGCACACCTCAGCACAGCTCAGTCAGGGGCTTTCCCTTGCTTTCAGTGTAACCAAGCAGCTCATCTTTGCTCTGTCCTTCAAAGTTGTTGGTACAATCTGGGCCTTAGTGCTCTGCCAGAATCTAAAATCTTTGCCAGAATCTTTGCTTATTCCTGCTAATGGTCTCCTTTGTTTATTTGTTTGGTTGATTGATTCCCTGCTAGCTCTCCACATGATAGGATCAGGCCCTTCAGCCTTTGACTCGAAGAATCAGCATATAGACCATAACAGTAGGAATTGCAAGATGCTATTCAAAGTAGTAGGGAAATGGCATCATGTATGTAATTTGTTGTTCATTCTCATGAAGCCAGTGGTATCAGGAGTTGTAACATATTACATGTGAGAAAAATGTAATGAGCAGAATAAAAAGAACCAGTTACAAGTTCATGAGAACAGCTTTCTACTCCCCAAATAATCTGCAAACTACCAGTAAAATTTATCTGCATGCTGGGTTTTATTTATTTATTTATTTATTTATTTATGGATTGGTTGTTCAAACAAACATTACAAGCATTGGGCAAACCTTGGCATTTGCCTGAGACAAAAGATGGAAAACAATAATTAAAGACCGATGGCCAGTGCTTTCTGCTATTTAGCTTGGTGCAGAATACTGTCCTACTACTACTTCTGAAGTGAATCCAACAATTGCTACAGTCAACTTTCATATATGGAATAAACACATGTTGACCTTTGCTTAGATGTGTAGCAGTATTTCTCAAATCTAGGAACTTTAAGTTGTGTGGGCTTCAGCTTCCAGAATTGTCCCTGCTGAGGTTGAGAAACACTGCAATTAAGAGTTGTGGGATTGGCTAGGCTGATGGTCTTGATTAATTGGCTTTCAACTAAGATAGAACAAGTGGGAAGCTTTCACTCTAGACACCATGAAGAAACAGTACATGCTACAATTTGCACTACTGCCTGTTTTTCCTACAGATATTGCTATTGATGCCTAGCTAAGGGGCAAGTCTATTTTATAATATACAGTAAAACATCTGAAGTAGGTTAGGTTTATTTCCAGAATTACTTCGAAGTCATCCATGAGAGGATCGGGATCAGGACACATTAATTTATTTTCTAGATCTTTCTCTCCTCACAACCTCAAAATATTTTCAAGGTAACATTTGCCCCATAGTTTTGAGTCATATCCACCATACTGTCAATGGTATCTATCAAGCAAAAGTACATACAAACATGTTTAAGTACGAATGCAAACAACCTTTGAATGCTTTTAATCAACTCAGAGAATCAATCAAACTTCCAAGGATCCAATTAAGTACTGAAGAAAATAATTTTCAAGACAAGGAAATTTGATGGATTTTTCCTTTTTAAATTCTTTTTAAAAAGTCCTTTTTAAATTCTTTTCTTTTGCTTTGTGAATCAGCAGCTAAAGCTATTATACAACATCATTTTAAAGACAATGTAGTAATCTAAAAAAAACTCCAAATATTGGTGGGTAAAATATAAATGTATTTCAATTTGCTATTCATAAATCATGAACCTGCCAAATGTAAAATAATTTATAATTGACATACCTAGTCAAAGCTGCAGTACACTGCATAAATAGGCTGCAATGGAATGCAAGAAAGTAACGGAATATTCAGCTCAGCCATTTCGCTTTTCATTTCTAATTGTTAATGCTTGAGAAATTTCAAAAATATTAATTTTCTAAAAAAATCACATGGAGGGTGAGTGTTAGCTTAGCTTCTCTCTTAAAATACTCCCTCTACTCTCCTAATGGACTGAAGCTGTGTATGCTTGAATTACAAATCCATTCATTTATAAGTAATCATTCCCTTCATGAATTAATAATTTGATTGTTGTGAGTCATATTACTACAGTTAGTACTATGGTTAATCTGGCCTGAAAAGTATTTTTGCAAAAGGAGATGTCATTCACTCAGTTCTTCTGGTGATTTTGATGAAGATCTTCAGGTACACAAGAAAAAACTGAATAACTTTAGAGCAAGAATGGAACCTACATTTTGGATGCCATCACTGTTTTTTGATCCTTTGAACCATCCAAAATTACTCTGCTGGGTAATGGCAGAATTTGTCACATTTTCTCAAAGTAAAGGTTAATAGAAGTTGATTAATTAAGCTTAGTGCAGCTAATTCATCTTTAATCTTACATTTTGGTCCTCTCTGTGGTCTATTTGGAGTCCACAAAAATGATTGCCCAGCCCTCTGTATATATTTTCATCCATAGATACAAATTTATATTTTTGTTTTATTTAAATTATTATATGAATTTCATGTGGGTAATGTACACCAAGGATTTAATCGTCGGTTCTATTGCCTCCAAGGTTTTTTTTTTCCTCAAATAAATTATATTGCTCTTTTCTTCATAGGAAAAGATACAGTAAGTGTGAATTTACAGTGTCAGTGGATTCTGCTTTTTGACACTAAAACATTGTATATTACATCTCAGAGATTTATGGTTGTCTGGAACACAGACGTTACTTTTGAAAATCAATAGATAATTTTATGAAACAGCTGCCTTTGCAATTTTTTTTGTCTGATGGGGAAAAACACGAGAAAAAAATGCTACAGAGAATGAAAAAAATATAATTCAGGCACTTTTAGAGGTTTTCTTTTCAAAGCCTTTGTTCAATGTTTAGGTACCTTTAGACTAATTCTTTAATTGGATTTTCTGCAAACAGATCATTAAAGAGAAAACCAAGAAATTCAAGGCAAAGGAAACATAGGAGTTAATGTTACCCTGTTTCCCCTAAAATAAGACATCCCCTGATAATAACCCCAATCAGGCATGCGCTAAAATAAGCCCCCCCCCGAAAATAAGCCCTCCCCCAAAATATTTAAACGCATGCACAGCTGGTCCATGCCATTTCCTCTGGTTAGGGTTAGGGGGAGAGAGCTGGAAATCAGGTAAGACAGCAAGAGGAGCATCGTCTTGCTCCACGTGCCCCAAAATAATAAGACATCCCCGAAAATAAGGCCAAGCTCTTATTTCAGGATTCAGAAAAATATAAGACAGGGTCTTATTTTTGGGGAAACATGGTATATAAGTGTGTTGGTGAACCTTTTCGGCACCGAGTGCCGAAATGGGAGCGTGCATGCATGTGCATGCCGGAAACTGGAAGAGCAGCCGCCCAGGGGCGCATGCGCATGCCGGGAAGATGATCTTCCAGGTTCCTTGTCTTCCACCTGGTCTTCCGGTTTCTGGTGCGCATGCTTGCATGATGACAAGCTGGCTGGTGCGCATACGCGCACAGGAAACTGGAAGAGCAGCCTTCTCGTGCACATGTGCATGCCGGGAAGATGGTACATGCGCACCAGCCACCTACGCTTCTGGTTTCTGGCATGCATGCATGCGCAAAGACCAGCTGGTTGGTGCACATGAACATGCTGGAAACCAGAAGATCATCTTCCCAGTGCATGCATGCGCATCGGGCAGCTGCTCTTCTGGTTTACGGCGCTCCCACATGCGTGAAGATCAGCTAGCCGGCGCACCAGAACCCAGAAGAGCAACGGGCGACAGCTCATGTGCCCAGAGAGATGGCTCTACATGCCACTTCCGGCACACGTGCCATAAGTTCGCCATCATGGTTTCATAAAGTTAGACTATTGCTCCAAAGAGCTCAGTTCTGTCTGCTCTGATTGGCACCCCATTTCAAGATCTCAGAAACCTTCCACGTGGTGCAGAGCTTGTCTCCCAGTTGATATCAGGGTAGTTAAAGTTCCCCATTTCTATTGTAATATATGTTTTGTGTCTTCCATTATTTCAGTTTTAACTGACCATGTCAAGAAAACTGGGTCTTGGCATAGAAAACAGGCCTCTGCCTCTGAATTGCAAAACTACTTGGGTAATACAATACAGCAAGTTATTGATCACTGCTATCTCAGTGTTCAGTTTTCCGTACATACCTTTTGCAGAAAGGACTAATATGAAGGTGAAGGTGCACGCATAAAATGGAGAGCAGAGAGATAAATGAATGCATGTTAAAATAAATCTTCCAGGTTTTTGCTTTTTTTGTCTTCAATCTTATATAAACTTTAGTTTATAGTCAAATCTATGTATTTGTGGCTTTGTGTGGAAGATCTAAACCAAGTTACACCTAGCAGGGCTCTATTATCTTACCTTTCCATGATGGACCTCAACACATACAATCCAAGGTGACATGTGGTTGAGCTTTCTCATTTTACAGAATTCTTTTATGATAATTTTCTTTTCTTTTTTTATGTTTTTTCTTTTATTTTTATATATACATCAACATCAATACATGAACAGTGTGGCATCTGGGTATCATTCATTTTGATACAAATAACAATACTGATATCAATAATATTTGTTACATTGGTTAGGCTTATATACTCCTAAAATTAATACTCATATTTGCATTAAGATATAGTCCTTCATTATTTAGTTATTCAGTATTTCAATGTACCATTCTAATGCCAATTACAATATTATTTAAGCATGCATAATAATACCATCTTTCAACCTCTAATCTATTCATTTAATTATTTTATGTATTTCATTTAGTCAGGCCATCCTTACTAATCCTAATGTAATGCACATATTGTATGAAAATATAATCCCAATACTCCAGCTTGACATCAGTCACCATATTATTTAAACATACATATTAAATCCATCTTTCAATCTCTAATTATTGCTTTTATTCTATTATTTAGAGATGTGTATCCTTATTTCTACTTTTATTCTAACTTTTAATCAGGCCCCCATTATATTAAAAAACATTTTCTTTCTATCCATCATCTCTCGCCCATTTTAATATTTCAATTCTTGTTTGTTTTTTGGCATGCCTCCCATACTCCTCTCTTGGATCTTTGTCTCTATCTGCATCTACATTTTTACTATGAGTATTCCTCCCAATATGAGTTGGGTTACAGAGTTCCTTGTATACTCTGTTTACTATAACTATTTTTAAATAACATCATCCATAAATCTAAAATATAGCAAAGTCAAACCCACCCACCCCAAACCCGGTCTCCTTTTGTTAATATGACAATCTATTGTGAGTATGGCTGAGATTAAGACCTAGGAAAATAGGTGATGATAAATACCTTGAAAGGCTGTGTTACCCTTTTGATTTCAGGGCAAATGGGTCCTTCAGAGTTTGCAGGGGCTCACAATGCATCACACACGGTGCAAAACACCTTTCTGCCTTTGTTGTGCTGCACAGCCTTATCTCTTGGAAAGCATAGCCAACCTGGCTTATAGAAGACACAAGATTAGGAGAGGCCCCTTTAGCCTGTCAGTGATTTTTATGGTCAATGAGGTGTGGAAACTATCTGAAATTTCTCTGCTTGCCTAGCTTCCTGCCTACAGCTGCTCTCCAATAGAAGTTGTTTTTTCTTTCTATTTTCTCATTTGTGACTCCCATGGCATTTTCATAGATTTACAGTAAATAGATAAAATTAGTGACTTGACCATTTAGGAATGTGACATAGCCTCTTTAGGTCCTTGGCCCTAGTCAAAGATAATGGATTCTTCATTCTTTTTTTTTTTTTAAATCCAGAAATATTTGAATATACAATTGCATTAATTATTGTTAAAACAATGTAGGTCTGTAAACTTGGCCTTTCACATCAGTCTGCCTTTAAAATTAAAAAGAAATCTTTAAAACAATTTCACATCATGCCTGAACCATTTGTGTTTTTATGGTTAATTTTTATGGTTTTAAAATTAAATGATTTTTTGCCTTATCAGTGCCAAATGCTCAAGATGACCTGCTCTGAGTTCTCCCGATTTATCTGAGGAAGAAAAGGGATGTTTTTCAAGAAAGAAAAAAAGATATAGTATGAAACCAGTTTGCTTTTCCCAACAAGGCATATCCCAAGTGGAATTTGTCTCATTGTCCAGCTAACAATGCATGCAAACTGGCATTGCCCTTATTTATCCTTTATTTTGAGACCTCTGGCACCATCTTCCTTCCAGCTCTGCTCTGTGCTCACAGCAGGGGTGGTTTTCACTTACCTTCGCTACTGGTTCGCAAATGTGAGTGCGCTTCCACTCAACCTTCCACACATGCACAGAGCATCAAAAACAGGATGTGATGGCGGGTGAGCGGAGCCTCCCACCACCGCCGCTAGTGGTTCGCGCGAATTGGATAGAACCAGCTGAATACCACCACTGGCCCACAACACAGTTTCTTTCCCTTTGTATGGTAGGATGTATCCTTACACACAGAGGCGGGTTTCAGCAGGTTCTGACCAATTCTGGAGAACCGGTAGCGGAAATTTTGAGTAGTTTGGAGAACCGGTAGAAATACTTCTGACTGGCCCTGCCCCCATCTATTCTCTGCCTCCCAAGTCCCAGCTGATCGGGAGGAAGTGGGGATTTTGCAGTAATCTTCCCCTGGAGTGGGGTGGGAATGGAGATTTTATAGTATTTTTCCCCTGCCATTCCCACCATGCCATGCCCACCAAGCTATGCCCACAGAACCGGTAGTAAAAAATTTTGAAACCTACCCACTGCTTACGCATCTGCATGTCTGTGTGCATATTCATACACCATCACTCTCTGCACTGTCTGCTCAAGAAGAAATCTGCAACAAAAAGCGGGCATTGGCTAATGTGAACATCTATCTCAATTAAAAGTTCAGATGCAAAACAATGTCAGAGGAAAGCAAACTCTTGGGAAAACCGCTCTGCACTGTTTTCTTCCCAAAGGACTTATACCTTCAGGTTGAAGTTAATGAGCTGCAGCTGTGAAATCTTTGCCGGTCCGAAGGGGAATGAGCCCCACGTGTATGGAGGAAGAGCAACAGCAGAATCCCCGGGCAGTTCGACTGAATGTGCCTGTTGTAAAATTCAACAGAAAAGAAATTAGCCAAAGGCCCAGGCTGAATCAATTACTGTAAACCTGCTGGTGAGCCCCACCATCCTCAAAAGACAGTGATGCAGTATCGATTATTACTGGCAGATGATATTTTATTAAAAAGTGATTGCTCAGAAGCCAAGAGAAACACAGACACCTGTCAACACTGTACGCAGATGCCATGAATAGAAGAAAACGTTACAAAAACAATAAATAGGAAGGGGGAAATGGCTTTATTTAGACATCTTTCTGAGCTGAGCTGCAACAAAAAACAATAAAGACTCATAATTATTTAGCATTGATTTTCTTAGATCAGGGCTGTCTAAATCCTGGGACAGTAGTGGGTGACTATAGGATTCAATAATTTAATATTTTAGCCTCGGGGAAACAATTACAAAATCAATGTTGGTTCTCTTCCTTTTTCTCTCTTGAGCACTTTCTTACCTGGCCAATTCTTTACTAATCACCCACCAGCTTAGTGGTAGACTCCATTTTTTAAGTCGGTGCTTGCAAACCGGGATGAGTATATTAATCGGCTCCTACAAAGGAGGGAACGTGACTGCAGTATTGTTCTGCTGGAGGCCAAGTTTGAAAAGCTATGCAGTGCTTCAGTTCTGAAGGGGAAAAAATATTTCAGGAATGGCCATTTAGCTCCTGTCTGGAACTCCTTAAAGCAGCTGCAGCGCTTCGTGGGTTTGCAAGGCCACAACTATAGCATCAGTGGTGGGATTCAAAAAATTTTTACTACTGGTTCTGTGGGCATAGCTTGGTGGGTGTGGCTTGGTGGGCATGGCAGGGGAAGGATACTGTAAAATCTCCATTCCCTCCCCACTCCAGGGGAAGGATACTGCAAAATCCCCATTTCTTCCCAATCAGCTGGGACTCGGGAGGCAGAGAACAGATGGGGGTGGGGCCAGTCAGAGGTGGTATTTACCGGTTCTTTGAACTACTCAAAATTTCCACTACTGGTTCTCCAGAACTGGTCAGAACCTCTGACCAGCACGACCCCAGAAAAAGATATTGGGTTCAAAGGGTTATCAAGAGGCATTGTGTGCCTGCTCTCTTGCATGTGCTTCCGAGCATTTTTACCATCAGTTTCAACATGCTACAGGCAACCTCCCTTTAGCAACTGCCTCATTTAGAAACTGTTTGCAGTTACAATGGAGATTAAAAAGTAACTTTGTGATCAATCCTCACATTCATGCCCTTCGCAGGTCTGTAAAGCAAAGGAAATCTGAAGTAGGATGTAAGCACAGTTGTTGTTTCACTTAGCAACCACTTTGCTTAATGACAAAATTGCTGCTCCCCATTGTAGTTTGCTAAATGAGGATTACCTGTAGTGGTTTAAATACAATCCCAGATCCTTTTGGATGTGGATACTATTAATTAACAATAACTCCTAACAAAGAAGAGAAAAAAAGTGTCCTTACATTAATCCTTAACCCCCAAGTGCTTATTGATTGCACCCATGTGCCTTATATATAAGTAAATTGAACCCATACACACCCTGGATCTTAAAAGGTTGATCTGTGGGTGCTTAAAGAAAATCTCATCATGCAAAAGTGTGCAAAGTTTTGGAACAGCAGTTTTCTTATGGTAAATCTAAAACATAGTCAAAATATAAATCCATGAAATTAGCTCAATGTATTTTTTTTAAAAAAATGATTTAGATGACTGCCCCTCACAATAGTGACTGCCCAGTTTACAAACATTTAAAAACAATACAAAAAATTCCAGACACTCTACAAGGGAAGTAGCTTCCTTTTTAGTCAAGTCCCAATGTGTCATATTTCAGACCTGCATCCATCTGGCTTGGAATGTACGTTGAAGTATCATCCCTGAATAAACCTGTCAAATGAACTCACAAGCCCTTGCCAACTGAGGTATTTTGAAAGTAAAATTTATAAACATTAGGAGAGCCATCTGTTACATTTAAATTCAGTGGTTTCTAAGGTGAACTACAGATTTTACATCAAAACCATTGTATAAAGCCATTGTTTTCACCCAAGCCTCAAAGGAAAACATTGATGCATTTTCTGTGTTGAGTTTCCAGAAGCCTGGCAGCAAGAGGGATTTGGATTCTCTGAGGAACAAAATGTCAGAATTCACATAGAAGCTGGCAGTAAACTCCAGTGTTGTGTGAAAGTTTGGGAGCCCTTCTGAATTGTCAATTTTTCTGCAGAAATATAACCTAAAAAGTTATCTCCACACAAGTCCTAGAACTAGAAAATGAGAACCCAATTTAAAAAATGAGTCTTAATTCTTATTCACTTTTTTTTTTTTTTTGAGGAGAATAATCCAAAGCTACATATTTGTATGTGGCAAAAGTATGTGAATCTCTCAGATTATCAGTTCATTTAAGGAGAAATTGGAGTCAAGGGTTTCAATCAATGGGATGATAATCAAGTGTGAGTGTGGGAGGTTCTCCCTTATTTAAAGAACAGAATTCTGGGTATTCACTATCAAAGTCTGGGCTTCACAAAACAAGTATGTGGAACTGTGTTATGAATTGAGGGAGATTTCTGAGAATTTCCAAAAAAACAATTGTTGATCCTTACCAGACTGGAAAAGGTTACAACACTATTTCCAAAGAATTGGACTCCACCAATCCATTGTCAGGCAGATTGTATACAAATGAGGCAATTCAGCACCACTGTTAGCCTCTTGGCTAACCAAGAATATACCAAGAGCAAGACATGTAATATTTTGGGAAGTATCAAAGGACCCCAAGGTAACATCTAAGGCAGTGGTTCTCAACCTGTGGTCTGCAAACTCTGGGGGGTGGGTGGATGGCGCGATGTCATCACAGGGGGTCTGTGAAGGCTTGAAGAAATGTTATGATTTAAATCTTGAGTTAAGTTCTGGGGGCCCATGGCCATGGTCCGTGGCCACAAAAGCTATTTAAAGGGGCTCCATGATGAAAAAAAACTTCAGAACCACTGGTCTAAGGAACTAAAGGACTCTCTTGCATTGGTGAATATCAATAATCATGAAATCACAATCAGGAGAACATAGAAAAACAACAACGGTATGCTTGGCAGGGTTGCAAGGAGAAAGCTACTAAAAAGAGCATTGCTGCCTATCTACAGTTTGTGAAAGACCATGTAGATAAACCAGAATACTATTGGAATAATGTTTTGTGGACGGATGGATCCAAAGTAGAATTTTTTGGCCTGGCTGAAAAATGTTATTTAGTGAAATTGAAGTGCAGGTTTTAACCTATAAAGTTCTTTATGACTCGGCACGGGCTTACTGCTAGCAGATGACTATCCCAAAATAATTGCCTTGAGAATCCATGCGACCCACATTATGTTGGGAAGCCACAGGAGCTTCTTCTATACAAACACAGCTTTGAGTTGACTGGGAAGTACATCAGGAAACACATATTTGTAGCATACCTTTCCCCAATGTACTAAAGATTCTGGCTTGGGAATTTTAATAGTCCTCACACCCAGGGAGGTCCCCAGCCTAGAGAAGACAGTTGTAAGAGAGCTGAAGGTATATGCTTCCTTCCAGTTTTTGTCAAGTAACTCCCTGCTTCCCCATTTAGATTCCCAGCAACATTTCCAGCAGTGGTAGCAGAAGTAGTAACATGTGCTTTATCATTTAAAACCCATTATCAGGATTAATAATCATGGGGCCTTGTTTGTCCCAGATCTCTCTTATAGCTCATTACCATTACTAGATCTTTATTGGGCAAAACCAGAGCAACAAACAGCAACCACCGGTTGTTCATTCACCCAATAACACAGTTCATCATGAAAATCTCCAGCGTATAAGTGAATGCTGGTGGATAGTTACTGCTATGAATGAGTATCTGGCCTCTCTGTATTTGAAGGCAGGAAGCCAAGGTCAACACAACAGAAATGTGGTATCTGTAGAGAGATGATGGTCAGTCCATTATGCAAGTGAAGTCAGGGATAACAAGCAGGGAGTCAAGAACAAAAAACCCAGATGATCCCATAAGGTGAAGTCATGGTGCTAGCAAATTGAATTCCAAATTATGCATTTATGTACTAATTAGGCAGTTACTCCCAGCCTTAGAATATCCTTGACCTTTACCAGACATAGTTCTTCAAGCTCAGGTACTGGCAGTGCTGAGGTTTCCTTGCCATTCCCATTATTTGCAAAGTCTATTCAGTGGAAATTCACAATGAGGAGAGAAAAGACTATCTGGAGTTCTGGTGACTTGGAAGTTCTTCTTAAACACAGGGTTGGGATCGCTATTGTTAGAGATCACAATACCGGGCTTGCTTTCCATTTTGCCGAATTTCAGTTGTGATCAGGATGCCCAGAATTATTCAAATCACTTGGTATGATGCATAACAGAACAGAAGCTGCACAAAACAGATCATATCTGCATGAATTCAGTGCCAGGTGAAAGCTGTCCTTCAAGCACTGTTGATGTTTGACATTATATTTTTAGCTGCCAAAGCAATAGGGTGGCTGTACTAAATTACCTGGTGCGATGTGACAAGAAGGGAAAATGAGATATTGCAAGAGAAAAACAATTAATTGGCCTGCCCACTAGACAGCCTTTCTCTGTCATGCTTTGAACTTTCCTCGGTAGGGTTTCTTCTCTTCTGAAGTGAGCCAATTACAGTCTTAACTGTGGAAAACTGCAGCAGGTGGAGATGTCATCAGAGCTTACAGCCGGTGTATCGTGTTGCATCTGTGCATGTGTACATTTTAAGATAATTTAACCATCTGTCAACCTATCAGATGTATGTGTGTGCATATTCATACATACATATACCCAGACATGGTTTATACAAAGACAAGTCCTGTGGCCGTATCAAACAATGAAAGGTAAATGCCAGGTAGCTGTATTTGAATTAATATGCAATGACTATAGGAAATATTCTGAATGTTGTAATTTGCTGGAAATCATTTCTCGAAAACAAAGTCTGCATTTTTTCTCAAAATGTCTTTTTTTCTGAACAGGTTTTCCATTTTTCTTCAAATCTGCTACTGAATCAGTACATAATATATTGATTTTCACAGTGAAGACTAGGTTTGTGGTGGGCTACTGTCCCTTTCCAATGGACAAATTGACTCAAATGACCTTTTGCGGGCAATTTTGTATGTTCTCAAGAAAAATTGCATATTGAGAATCATTCACTTAGTCGTGTCTTAATTATTCAGAGGCACTAAGGATCTTTTTTATTTAACTTGGAACAGCTTAGTTTCTTCTGAGAGGATCTTTCAACTGACACTTCAATAATACTTTTTAGCCTGAGGCTGTTGATTTTGTTTTCATCTTGACATTTATTATATTTAATTAGTTGTTCTTGGAGGTAGCAAGATAACAAGCACACCCACAACATATGTGCATACAGAGACTTGTGTTGTAGAGCTTTTATACTGCCTCATTAAAATTAATGGATGGATGGATGGATGGATGGATGGATGGATGGATGGATGGAAGGAAGGAAAGAAGGAAGGGAGATTTCTGACACTTCCTTCCAGCTTCTCACAAGCAAAGTCAATGAGGAAGCCAGCAGGAAGTTAGAAAGAGGCCCACCCATGGTCATTCTGTTTTTCTATTTAGGTAAGAACATTTCTGAAACAATGATCCAACTGGGCATGATTTATCTAGTCTTTCCACAAAATTGTTATGATTCTTTTGTGTTTTAGTTACCTTTGAGTCCTTTGTGTTTTAGTCGCTGGATTTTTACTTCTGCAATTGAAGTTCTGAAGATTTTATCTGAGGGCATAACATTTCTTTCTTAGAAAATGGTAGTGATCATTGACTGAAAGCAGTAAAAGCCAAATTAATTTACTGCTGATTTAGGTAATTTATTTTTGGCACTGAATTTTAATTCAATTTGATACAGAACAACTTTATACAGGAAAAAAAAATTCTTGCATTCAACTCTTGAGTACAACGCATTTACTGCATTCTTTTTTTTTTTTTTTTTTACTAATTTTATTCTTTCCATTTAGTTTTCAGGACTTTATCTGCTGTCATTCTTCACAATCCTTGTTGGCCTTTTGCTGTACTCCTCTACATCCACATACATTGCCCAAGACCCCCGGGTGTACAAGCAGTTCCGAAATCCTTCAGGACCTGTTGTAGACTTGCCAGCCACTGGGCAGCTAGAACCTTCAGTAACATACACCAGCCTCGGCCAAGAAACGGAAGAAGAATCTCATGTCCGTGTTGCCTAAACTCAGGCCTTGCCACCCTTGGTGGAGTTTGTATCACCATTATCTCTGTATCATTCATAGAGAAAGGTATTTTCCGGATGCAGTGACTCTAGTCAGCTGCAAGGTAGCAAATCGGGGAGGTTTATTAAAAACCATCATCACCATTAAAATCTTTCCAAGAATGCTTGACTAGGAGCTGTAAATTCACAATCCTTCACTTGGAGCAGTGCTTTTCAGTCTAGAAATCTTAACTAAGGTTTTCTTAAGGAGACGTTATGAAATGGCAGGGGAACTTTCCGGAAGGACAGTTTGCCTACCTCAAAGCCTCCATTTGAAATGGAACCCATCTGTAGTTATAGAGGGCACGTTTTAGTTTACATGAGGCAAACAGACTTGGCCATAGCCTTATCTGAACCGAAAATCCATTCTACAATATGCCGTGAGACCCTTCACAATGTGCTGGAGAAATACAGAAGTAGATTCTGAAGGGAGCAGGGGAGGAGAAAGGGAAAAATCACAAGGAAACTGGTAGGCAGGTATCTCCCAGTGTCACTTTGCTAACCTGTATACCTGTAATTTAGAACACTGAACCACAGTACAATATTAAGGCTTCTGAAGAGAATCAATATGATTTAAAATTGCTCTGATTCTTGGCAGAAATGCCATTCAATTCAAAAGATACTATGCATTTTTAAATGTATTTTGCCCAAAGATAGAGGTGAAATCCAATTTTTTCCCCTACCGGTTCTGTGGGTGTGGCTTGGTGGGCGTGGCAGGGGAAGGATACTGCAAAATCTCCATTCCCTCCCCTCCTGGGTGAAGGATATTGCAAAATCTCCATTCCCACCCCACTCTGGGGCCAGCCAGAGGTGGTATTTGCCGGTTCTCTGAACTACTCAAAATTTCCACGACCGGTTCTCCAGAACCTGCTGGATTTTACCCCTGCCCAAAGACTGATTTCTTGGGAACACCATATCTAACAAATAGGATGAACTTTGTAAGATAATTCTTCATTAAGCTATATTTTTTCTGACCAAACGGTGATCAAAATGACACTGGTAGAGTATTTTCCACTGTTACTTTTTTTTTTTTCCATTCAGAAAATAAATGAAGTCCTGAGAAATATTTTTGCGCAGTTTTGTCTAGATGGGCTTTAAAAAGAACTTCAGTGCAGGTGATGTTGATGGGGAAAAGGGATGAAGTGGGAATTGAATACCACATGAGAATTGGACCAGTTGACTGGATGGGTGAGCTTCCGTTTTTTACAACCTCTAGAACTCCCCCCAGTCCTTTTGCTGTGCTCTTTCCAAAACAAAAAACAACCCTCACCACCCCCCACCTTTACCTGCAGAAAAAGATTCGGAACAATGTCAAATGCTCCAATCAAGGGGTAAATTCCAGTTGGGGATCTGGAAATTGACTACAAGTCCCCAAATCCTTGTCAGGAAAATTTACTCTGCATACCAGTTTCCACCAACAATGGATACTCTTCCTCAGTGACAGTGATAATTTCTGGAACATGGATGCCAAATTTGCATTCAGGTTCCAGGTAGCCAGCAAAAAAAGAGAGAGAGAGAGAGAGAGAGAGAATGCTGTCCATCTTTTAAAAAAAAGCTTGGCTCTGCTGCTCCTTATTTCCTCTTTTTGAAGAGAAAGAGGCAGGCTTTCAATAGGACCTGTTTAGCGTAAGTTTGAGTGAAGACTTGAAAACTTGAATATTTTCAGGATGAATGTAGATTTGTTCACCAGTTGCTAATGGAAAGGGATTAGAAACATGGGAAGCAAGAAAAGCTGGTAAATAACACTTAATGCAACAAGGGAAATGTCTAGCAGGGCCAAATATACATAGATACTACCAATTTTTGTCCAGTTGATGTACACAGAATCTATACCCTAGTGCCATTGTGTTCATTCAGCTACCTTAGCTACCTGGTTGCCCATTCTCTGAAGCCTTTCTCAGCCTGGGCCCTCCTGATGTGATGGGCAGAATTCTCTCACCTCTAGCCATGCTGCCTAGGAATTTCACTCCAATGCCTCTTGAAGGGCTGAGGTTGGTGAAGATGGCTCGGAAAAAGTTCTGGGAAGCCATGGATGGACAGCTACCAGTATCCATCTCTATTCTAAGAATAGGTTGAAAAGAAACTTTTTAACCTTTTTTTAAAATATGTGCATAATAGTATAGTAGTCAAACACTGACTTTTGAAATATTTTTTACAGTAACACTGTGGGCAGCTGAGATTTGCTGATAACATAATTACATTTCCACTTTCAGTGTCTTAACCTTACAGATACCAATAAGTTCCTTTCTCTTCGCAAATTTAGTTGCTGTTAAGAAAAAGAAATTGAATATTTTTGTAGACATTCTGTCCAAGAGAGGAACACAGGAATAGCTGACCTATGCTGCTCTCATTCACAATCTGATGCTGGCTAGGTGTGAATTGTTTAGAACTCCGTATATTCAAAGTCTTTATGCTTATTCCATATTTTTTTTGGGAGGGGGAGATCTACGACTGATGTTTCTTCTGAATCTTGGTCCATTGTTTTTACTTTGAATCAATAATCCATTCCTGGTTCCAGATTCAATAGCTGCTTAGATCCTTAGTCTTCTAGTACAGATTTGCACATTCCTTTCCTTAACAAAATTCTTATGATTGTCACTGCTCAGAGACACATGCATTATGCTTCAAACTGGTTAATTAAAATATAGCTTCATTTCCTGGTTAGGAAAAGCATGCAACTGTTTTTTCCTCTGTCTGCAAAATTAATTTATCAACTCGGTAGTAGCTTTGTTTCCCTCAAGAATATTGGCCAAAGTCATTCTTTTATCATTACGTATTCAGAAATGTAATCATCTGAATGAAGTTGGTGACTCAACAGTTCTCAAGGTGCCACTTCTTCCCAACTACCGTGTTTTCCCGAAAATAAGACCCTGTCTTATATTTTTTTGAACCCTGAAATAAGTGCTTGGCCTTATTGCCATGCGCTCAAAAACCCGATTGGGCTTATTATCAGGGGATGTCTTATTTGGGGGGGAACAGGGTACCATAGAACTGACCTCACTTGGGCAGGATTCCATTTACATAACTGGGGCCTTGGCTTAATTATGGCTACAGTTCTTACAAAGAAAAAGAGGTATAATACTAAATGTTCATAGTGCTATAAGCAATACTAGAACCTTCTCCTGTCTTTTAACATCAGAACAAAGATACTCCTGTGATTTACGAGTCTTGAAGCTGAACCAGAAACAAAATGCAGATTTCTTTAGAGCCTCTAGTAGTCCTTGAAAGAAAATCGGGATAGCTGTTTGTTTCAATGATAGGAAAGCTTTTTGAAATAGGTTGTTAGAATGGAAGAATCAAATAACTTCTTTTAAAGCTTACTCTTTCTGCACAGTTGAACACAGTAATCTACTAGGGCTGTGCACATTTGAAAAATGAATCAGAACAAGTATTTTGGTTCTCCTATGGTATGAATACAGCCTCTCGATGCTCTTCATTAGAGCAAACCTGATTGGCTGGTTTCAGGTTTCTGAATTATCTTGGGAAAAAGATACATCTGCTTCTTTTTAGATGCACTAATTTAATTATTTGATTCATTAAAATCAGCAGGATCTTTTTTTTAGACTAACTCAGAAGCCTGAGAAAACATACGTTTGTTTTAATAAGTGGCAAAGAGCTGTTGTGTTTGCAAGAAGTCATTTTTTCCTAATAATATTTGAAGCACTCTCAGTTTTATAAAAAAATATTATTTTACCTACCTCAGAAGAAAAAAGAACAAACAGATGAGACTACAGAGGTACTGAATATTTCCTCAGTAAGCTGAATTTGCCAAGGAACCTCTTTCTTACATTCTTAGTACTGAAAGCTTGCAGTATACAGTACAGTAGTTCAAAGTAACCTACTGCATTTTTATGTGTGAAAATTACATTCACGAAGTCCATTCTTTTAAAAATTTATCTTCATAATAACCCTAATTCCTATGAGAGCTGTATGTTATGGCACTACCATCATGCATTGTTCCATTCTAGAATTCCAATATGCATACGTACAGTATCTTCGGCAGTACAGAACTAGGGATTTGCACAACTTGAAAATGTTTTCTTTCAAACTCAAAACAAATCATTGTTTTCAGGTAGTTCTACTGAACCATTTTGCATTAGCACTGAACAAGAAGGAAAAAAAATCTGAAACATATGGTTCTTCTGACTTTCAGCCCAAATAAAATCCGAACAAATCCCATAGTGATTTTTTTTACAGGGCAAAGAGAATCAGAGAGGTATACATTGCGTTCCGTCTTCCATTATCCTCCATGTAGCCAATGGGCTACACAGCACTCTCTTTCTCCTTCCTATCTCTCTTCAGCCCACAGCTAATATCTTGCCCTCATCCCAATATTCCCAGTGTTTTCCCTTTTCTTTCCCCCTCCAGCTACCTTCAACGTTTGCATACGCTACTGCCAGAGAAATCCCTCAGTCTTGACTTTTTCCTATTCTTAAATTCTCCAATCAATTCTGCCCAGAGGAACCATGTTCAGTCCATACCCAGAATAAAACTGTCCCATTTTTTTTTCTCTATGTTGACCAAAATACATGATATTTTGAAATACATGATATGGTCACAGCATAAACCACGTGAAATAAACTACTTCATGTGCAAAACAGTATGCACAGGGAGCATTTTATACACTCCTCTTTGCAATTGAATGCCTTCAGTTACACTCTAGCATCAACTCTCCAATAACATGACCAATGGTGAGAGATTATGGGAACTGTTCAACACATCTAGAGGTAAGTTTGTTCACACTGATTCACTTATTTTATCGTTCACGTGGCCCCCATTGGTTTTCTGTGCAAAGAAGAATCCAATTGTGAACTGTCTTGGCAGCTTTTCTCACCCAGCTGCTATCCAAATATAAAACTAGAAATTCCATGATCTGACCAATTTGGTTGGGAATCCTGGGAGCTACATTCTCAGTATATCTGGGAGATGCCAGGTTGGGTCATTCTGAGGTAACTGGGTGGAAGCAATAGCCGTTTGCTTAACCAATGCTACCAAGTGGCCTTTTTCCCCCTGTTTCGTTTGGTATACAAATCAAATTATTAAGACTATTTTGTAAATTATTCGGTGACAAAGATTCTGTACTACTTTTTACAACTGTCTTTCACAAGTTGGGTGACATATACTGCTGTGCAGAGGAGAGGGGTGAAATTAGAAATCTCAGCTATAAAATTGTGCAAAATTGCCATTTCTTTTAGAATCAGAATGTTACTGCCAGGTGATCGTTTATATACTGTATTTAGAGCACATGTTATTCCTGACGGGGTACATGAGTTCCAGGCACTGCTTAAATATCACCAATATAATAACTTCATTGTGGCTTAAATATTGGCTTGACTCATTATATCAAGGCTCTCTTGATAAATGTAGGCTTTAATTCTGAATATGCTTGGATGTATCTAAAGAACAGGGTTTAAGTGTGTTCAGGGGCCTTAACTGTTTTCTCAGGTTTCAAAAATCAGAAGTCATCTGATGAGCATTGCCATCTCCCAGTCCTTTTTGCTACCTTTTATACCAATTAAATACCTTTCTCTGAGTCTGTGGTCCCATCCTTGATCTTAATGACTTTTTGAAGAACTTATGCCTTTATTTTCTTGCTTAAGCATTTGTCTTTCATAACTTTTGAGGACTTTTATTTATAGTATTTATTTTGTAAGCCAAATGTTGTTGTAGGTTCTCTTTTAAAAAAAATAGCTCATTCTTATGACACTAATTTGTAGATTACTTTCTGTAGAAGCAACCTAGATGAGAGGCATCACTCAGTTCCTTCAAAAGTGTTCTTACTGAAATAGAGCATTGCAAAGTGCAATCTTTCAAAGGTTGGATAACCACCATTGACAGCTTCATCTCCCCCCCCCCCACCCCCAAAAAATATTTAAAATTATTCTTTTGCATGGGACAAGGAGAATAGACAAGGGAGGTGGAAGACTGGAATGTTTAAGAATGGAAGCTGCCTTATATTAAATCATTATTGCTCCATTGAACCCAAACAATGTTTTTTTTCTGGTTGGCAGCAAATCTCGGGCAGAGGTCTGCCAGTCCACTGAGCTCCTCTATCTGCAGACAATGGAGTTTGACCTCCCTGCCTTCTGCTTAGAAGTCACACAATCTGCTCTTGGGCAGTAGGCTTTTCTAATTCTTCTACAATTGAACAATGTTGTTAAACATATTTATTGCCTAAAATGAAATGCCAAGATAAATTGATTGATGCATAATGAAAAGCAAGGTCCATCTGAGTGAGTTATTGTCTGAACAGCTGATGTCTTGCCATTTTAAGAATTTTGGGGAGGGGGCATCAGCAAAGCTCTTTTGGTTCAGCAAGTAGCTACCCTATCAATGTAGCCATTGACTTCTTTGGAAAGTGGATGGACCAGTTCCTGGAGGTGAAAAGGTATTCAGCTATCCTGACTGTGCTGATATAGTTCAGTAATTGAATGGAAACTGTAGCAACAGTTTGGTTTGTCTTCGACTTGAGAACTCAAGAATACAATCAGCAACCAAGACAGACCAATCAATTGATGTTTTACATCACTGTGTCAAATGAAGATGCTTCCGTACATAGTTTTAGATATTGCTAACTTGTGCCATTAACATTTCAACCAGTGTGTCGTATTTTCTCTTTTTTAAAATGACATTAGTATTCTCAAGCTAGCTATAAATATCAATTTTACCCCATGGGTAGGATTTTAATTGTTAAATGCCATAATAAAAGCACACTAATTTTGACACTTACAAATGGAAGTAAGAACCAAAAACAAGGAATGTCCACAATATTCACTAAGAACGAATTATCTTCTGTTTTGATATTTGCATGCTCCAACATGGACTGGCTGTGGCAATGTAATGCCTGTATAATGTTTTCAAATAAAAGAAAAGATAATCCTTTATATAAGCCAAGATTGTTTTTGTTCAGAATTAAAATCAAGTGAACATTCTCCATCCTAAGCTCATTTGCTTCTGGGGTTTATAATGTATAAGGTATGTTTATAATGTATAAGGTCACAGTTTTTCTTTAGGTGGCCTAGACATTTGTCACACTGTTAGACTTTCATAGGACCAAGATTCCATATTAACCCAGAAGCAATGTACATTCATGTCGATGTTGGACATTTAATTATTATGTGTTATTTAATTCTTTCTGAACTTTCCTTACACTTAAAAAAAAATCTTCGCAACAACGTTAATATTTTCCTTTCGCTTTACTGGAATGTCTTCAGAGATTAAATATAGAGATACCCAACCTGTAATCAATTAATATATCCATGCTTTATCTTTTTGCCTGACCTTTGCAGAGACATTTTTTTTTTTCAATTCTAATCCCCCATAAAATTATGGAAATTGAAACTGAAAAACAGTTGTCATTTAAAAAACAAGCAAACATTGGGTTGTATCCAATGGTGGCAGGGTAATTAATGGAAAGTCTTAAGAAAAGTCATCACCCTGTTTTTACAGCCATCTCCATCTATTACAACCTTTCCCAGTTTCTGGGAACCGTCACTGAATGCTTTGGGAAAGGTTCAGGGACGTTGTGGGGAAAGGCAGTGTCAGACATTGGATAGTTCAACATGGACAAAAACACTTTCCAGTGATAGTGTGTCAGGATGAGAGAAGTCAAAGTAAGAATCGATCTCATTTAAAAAAAAAAAATCTTTGAGAAGAAAGCAAAGACAACATCCAGTTAGCTGAATTACATTTACAATCAGTGTGTAAAAGTTTATTCATCTGTACTTATATTATGCTTCTTTTCTTACCTATTACAATTTATTAAAGAGCTGTTACTCTCTTTATTTTCTGTCATGTAAGACCCAAAAAAAAAACCCCACAGTCACCGGAGTCTAGTATGACTTGAAAGAGTCGTCACAAGAGATGGATGGGCAGATGGATAGGATATTGAAAGTGCCAATGAAGTCACATCTAGATTTAATCTTGCATAGAGCAGACACATTCAAAGCAGTGAAACTTACATTAATCAACACAAACCAGGCAACGGGTACTTGTTTTCATCCCTCCTATCTTTTAACAGCATATGAAACAATTGTTTTTTTGTGCAAGGTCAAAGCAGAGCTTGCAAAAACATCTCCCTCTTGAAAATGCAATGAGCGTTCCCAAAATCTGAAAACAGTGTAGAAAAAAAAATATATTGCATTATTATACTGCGTTAGCATCACACCCTCAAATTTCACTAACAACATTAGTTTGTAGCAGTTTGTGAAACGATGCCTCAGAGTTGTTCTACCATAGTTGATACTTGCCTATCATTGAAAAGAGAACATATGAACATTTTGAACTACAAAAAGTCCCCTTAATTTTAGTAGCATTTCTAATTCATGGGGAGTCTGACAGGAATAATTTGAACCTTGGAGTATATGATTCAGTGATTTGAAAATCTTTATGTTCAGGACTTACTAAGCCTCATCATTAGCAATTTCCATTGAATTTGAAAGGAGAGATGGATTACTGAATAATGTAATAATGATACTAATTCCTTTTCTGTCACTAAACTGGTATGGTTCTACTCATGCCAGTCAGCTGGAGTATACTTTACAAAGAATGAAACCTAAGTAGAATACTTTCAGTCAAGCTATTTCATATTTACAACTATTTTTATCACTATTGTATTTCATATATATCCATTGCTATGGCTGAGTGAATTTATTACAGATGAAATTTATTTTTCTTTTCACATAGAGTTCTATAAATAAAGGTGTTTTATTGAACACTGCCAAATGGATTTGAAACTCTTGATATAACATTGCTGAAAAACCACAGCTCTTCACTCCCTCCAATTATCACTTTCTTGGACATGCCTCTATCTCATATTGGTTGTCCCACAGTAGCTAGTGCTAAGATGGAGAAATTTTCTTATAGGAAACTCCCACTCAGTCCCTGTCAGGTTTTTTTTTTTTATTCTCCCTTCTATTTATAGCTCTTCAACTAATCCTGCTGCTAATTCTCTAACCAACAGATGCTCTAAAGGACATTCCCTTGTCCCTAGATAAAGTAAGACCCAACAGCAACTGCTTGTTATGAATAGTTAATTTTATTATTTACATGGAACCCAGTTCTACTTTATGTCTTGCATTAAAACAATAACTACCCAGGTTTATAAGTAGATTTACACAGACACAAGTTTAACAGTAACCTTTGAACTCATTAGACTGCAATTATCTGTTTCACCCATCCCAACAGATTCCAGACATTGTCCCTACCTATACACTGCCCTTCTCACTGTCATGCCTATCTTAGGAAGCATGTAAGAATTCTAGCTTGTAAATAGGGGTGCAAAGATACACTTTTTCATCCAAGACATGGTGACATCTCGCCTTTGACTGGGACAACCAAGTTGGCTTTTGCATTGCTCTTTTAGCATGCCTTGTGTCTAACCAAACTTGAAAGGTCTGTGAATTGACTAAATTTAATATCTATGCTGACATCCACATCCAAAAGATCATGAGAGTTATTATTGACTGCCACAGACCCACCTAGTGTTTCCAGACAGTTGACTGGCCACTCTCAACTTATTCAGCTGGATAGTTTAGCTTCATCGGGCCTTTTCAAGGACACATCAATATCCATAACCAGTCAGGTTAGTCCACCTTGACCCAACCATATTCTCAGAAAAGACAAAGTCAACCAAGTAATGAGGAGAGTAATGAGGAGATAAAAGAACAAGACAAGACTGGAAATGAGAAACAAGCCTGACATCCATCTATCAGGACTAAAAGCCATGGTAAGTGATTGCACCTAAATCCTTGCTTGAGCTTGGCTTGGGAGCTCAGCTTGATATTCGGTAACCACTTCGCTTAGAGTTCAACTTTGGCAGCCACTCTACCCTGCAGCTTGATGGAGGATCATCCAAGCAGAGGCTGCACAAGTAACTCCACAGAGAGGAAAGGACTCCATGCCACTTGAACCAGGAGAGTTTAAAGAGGCAGAGAAAGTTAGAGTAAACCAAAAGTCTGGTCACTGGTTAAGTCAGTTCATTATAATTGGGAATATATGGTTAACTTTCTACAGCCAAGACACGTCTTGTATTGGGGAAAGTATGAGATGCAATCATAAAAAAAATGGGTAAAGTTTTCACCCAATGTCTTGTACAAAAGAACCCCACACTAACTAGGAATCAAATGAATGGACTCATAAAATTGCTACTTTTGTGCATGAAATTATTAAGAGAAGGGTTGGTGATCCAAAACACCTTCTAGGTGTTTGACTAGCACAGTCAATAGTTGTTTTAATTCACTCATGTAACTTTTAGCATTAAATAAATTGTTAGGAGCTGAAATGGGTCATGGATAACCTAATGGACTCAATATCTGTTTTATGTCTCAGAGGTTGCTGAAGTTTGTCTATAATCATTAAAAACAGAGAGAAAGAAAGACAACTTGCAAAATAGGGTGACAACAATTCTGATGAATTGCCCTTTCCCCAATGTTCAATATTCAATTAAGTATATACAGAAAATCTTTCAAGGAAGAAAAATGTTTTTTCTTCTACACCCAGAAGCATTTCCACTTTGTTCAGAACAGAGTAAGTGCACGATGCATAGTTTGAACCTCCTAGTAGGAGGAATATCACTATATAAACGTGCACCCAGTCCAACTATTGCCAAAATAGTAGTTATGAGAATGCCTGAAAATATGAAAGTTTACCTTGCATTATTTAATTCACTCTGAGGAAATAGTTTTGGCTTTTGACTGCAATTCAGACATGATAACTCTACTAAATATTGCAAAGAAATGGCAACATTTTTAATTGGGGCTTATGGTCAATGAAATAGAAAAGACTCAAGGTGGATTGATTTTGTATATGGTTAACTGCAACAAGACTATTGTGTGCTCAACAAAGGAAGAAGAATGAAATTCCCACAGGGGAAGAATGGATTGTGAAAATGTCAGAACTAGCCAAGGTGGAAACGCTGTAGTAAACTCAGCATGACTAAAACGATTTATACTTTTTGTTAGCTATATACTTCTATAATATAGCTGTCTTCTTTTCTAAAAATATTTTTCTCCTTAGGAAAATAATTTATACATATTTCATACTGAGAAAACATTTTATTTCTGTCAATTCTTTGCAGGAAGTTATAATTGCATTCGTAGAACTAACAAAAGAACATTTAATTGTTTAAGGAAATCGATTTGCATCAGAAACGGTCTCTGTTCCCTCTGGATTACATATCTGTCTAAGACTGCATTGTGCTCCATTTTCTTAAAATTGAGCTTATTAGCATAGGTCCATCAATAGAAATGAAAATACCATGCAATGGGGGGGGGGGGCTTTTTGTTTTTAATTTGAGATTATTCAAGCACAACATTTATCTCTTAAGAAACTTGTCAATAGAATTAAGGGTTGTCCCATAGCCATTACTACTTTTAGTAGATATTCAGACAAATATTATACAGACCTTTCCTTGATCAAATGAATAACAACACCACTCTAAATGACAGTTAAATTATTGCCCTGAAAACTCTTAAATACAATGCTGAATTTTTAAATTTGATTTATTACAATTGATTAAGAATAATTAATTCCATTATGAGGCAGTTTATTTATTTTTATTTGAAAAAAGAAATATTGCCACAGCAGCTGATGGAAATACATGTCAAGAAATCAATCCTTGATTGCTATTCAAATATAGCAACATTGATGAAATGATAACTAAAAGCTGGCTTGTCTGGCTTTTACAAATCTTCCTGCTTCATAGTGAAAGAGAAATTTACATTCTGGAAACTAGCTGTCAAATTACAATAGCATTACAATAACTGGAATTCATATTCAGGTAGTCCTTGCTTAGTAACCACAATTAGGGTCAGCAATTCTGTCACTAAGTGCCAGGGTTCCTAAGCAGAAAAAGCATGTGATCATGATGGTCACATCTCTTTCA